TAGAAGACCACACAGCCTTAGTAGATGACAGGTTTTGTTAGTTTTCTCTTATTTATGGGTTCTTATTGTACTCAACAAATTCTCAAAGATGGTTTTTGCCTTATTGGATTATGAGTCTTCGTGGTCTACCTAGTACCATTGTCTTAGATAATGAGCTATTTTTGATAGACCCTCTAGCCTCCCTGGCAATTTTCATCCACTTTTCACCCCATAGCAATGATGGTTACTCCAAAGCTTGATTGGAGATATGCCTTACAATTAGTCTTGTAGCAGAATTTTTTAGATATGCCTTACAATTAGTCTTGTAGCAGAATTTAATTGTAATGACTCTATTAACGGGTCTACAGCCTCTCTATTCCAAATTATGCAAGGATACAATTTGAAACAGCCTATTGATTTTATACGTATTCCCCTGTCTGCTTACCTTATTGAATCCGTTAAAACTTTTTTCTTTCACTTCCACAACATTCATGTTAATGTGCACAAGTTAGTATTAAGCAATGACAAGTACTAGTTACAGACTCCACATCAAGTCCCATCTACCACTAACTCATCTGTTGGAAAGATTGTGTTGATTCAGATGCTATGGATTCATAGAGGAGAAGTTCTGTCACGTAAACCCCGTCTTCATTAATGGCTACCAGCTATCTAATTTTGCAATGGCGAGTTCTTCCAGCCCAAGAGAAATTATGATGCAGCAACATCTCATTAGTTTTTCATTGGTTTTTTACAATTTATTTGGATTTACCATTATTTTTTAGGATTTTCATTTTGACCATTATTTCTAATTAAGATTATTTGTTGTTGTTGTTTTCATTTCTCTTATTATTTTACTATGAGTAGTTTTAGGATTTTCATTTTGACCACAAACTTAAGCATTAAATTATTAAAGTTACTCCTTTTTCCTATGGGCTTCTCTTCTCTGTTGCTCTCATACAGTCAGGACTATTGGGGTAATCAATAAATGATCAGGAGCCTTGGACCCAAAATTTATTTACTTGTGCCCAGTTTTTTCACTTAAGTTATATTACAAAATTTAGCTGACAAATTAGCCATTTCACCTGCTAAACTACTTAGATCACTACTTAGATCACCTCGATGCCGATGAGAGAGTTAGACAAGACCATCACTAAAACAGATGATAATGTAATGACATATACATAGATCCTATGTACAGCCTAGTACAGCTAGAAACAGATCAGGAAATTAAGTACCGACTCTGAATAAATTTATGCTTCTTAGATAGAACATTCATTCACACCTTGATAACGAAAAATATGACAAGTAAGAAAGCAAACAATTTCACAATTTCATGCGCCAACAAAGCAATGCCACTGTTGCAATCATTGTTAAATGCATACAAGAACAACAAAACCATGCTTGGGATTCTCTTTCATTTTCTTCCTGGATTTATTCTCTTCCCGTTCCGATTCTACATCACAATGATGCAGACGAGGGATCTCAGGACGAAAATAATACGGATAGGGAAAAAGCAACGGAAAAAAGCTCACAAATGGAAAAAATACCCACCGATTATAATTGCAATACGCAGCACGGATAATCTAATAACAAGTTATGAACATATATAAAAATACAGAGCAAAGAAATAAGGCATATCACTAGCGAAATAAAGACGAATTTCAATACAAGCATCCAAAATAATAACCAATCAGGATCCAACGAAGCAAATGAAAACAATAACACCTGGGTTCCGCTAGAAGACATCGAACGAGAAATGGGGAAAATCAAAGAATACCAGGACCAAAAGAGGAGAAAAATTGCGTACCGAGAATCGAAGAATCAAAATATAGATCGAATCATGCATATCGTCAGTGCAGATGTTGTTGCTGAAGTCGAACGTGAAGTCGAATCATGCATACCCCTTGTTATTAGAGTAGCTGAAGACCAACGAAAGATGATGTTCATCCACTAAAAATCAAACGACTGAGGAAAGCGGAGAAGCAAAAGCGAGAACAATAGATTTAGTAGAAGCCAATTTATTGAATTTAAGCCGTTGCAGAATAGTGCCGTTGCAATTTTGCTTCTGAATTTGAAAGAATTTCAAATCAATCAGTTACGGCTGTTACGCTGTCTGCATTTTTTTTAAAAAAATATATTGAAAAATCGCTTCAGCCTTCAGGTCGATTGGATTTTGGGCTGAAGAAGAATCATATATGGGCCTCCTAATCAATATATATATATATATATAAAATGTTTTTTTTTTTAATACAAAAAGGTGCAGAAAACTGCTTTGTGGTTTTACAAATTTTAGCCTTTATTTATTTTGGTATTTCAGCGTGGCATGAAAAGGCAAAGGAAGAGATAGGATTTCCTTTTTCTTTCCCATAACTATGTGGTATTTTACATTTCGAATATAATGGAAGTAATTTCTCTCTTCGTAATATTTGGATCTCTCTTTTATTATTTTCGCCTAAAAAGCCATCCTGTCACAGAAGGATTCCCTTTAATTTTGTAATTTGAACCAAATTAGGTCCTTACAATTTTCTTTAAAACATTTTCTCCATTCATATAAATTCAAACGTGTTTATTAAGAATTTTTCGAGATAATTTTCTCTTATTTGTAATGTCCTTCCATCACTCCCTCACTAGTCAAATTAATTTAATAATTATAAAATGTTATTTGATTGAGTTCAACTTTTATACTCCCACAGGTCACAATTTAAGAATAATATTAAGAAGATAGGCACACAAAAAAATTCTTTGACCAAAACAAATATTGTTAAGATTTGAAAACTTTCAAGGTGATAATCCAAAATTTTTTTGGATATTTTGTGCTTCTAAGTGAAAACCTTCAAAACAATTTTATATCTTAACCCCGAAAAATAATATTTGTCAATTTAGCATATTTGGTCAATGAACAGAAAAACTTGACCTAGATAACGGTTAGGGTGAAATTACTACAATTTGAAAACTTTTGAGAATGATATTGAACCCAAAAGACCTTTCAGATAACCAACTTTTCTGAGTAAAAAAAATTTTGAAACAAATTTACACCTCAATCCTATAATGACCATAATGAAAATGATCATCAAGCCATATAGATGTATTAATTTTGTCAACAAACATGTGAAAATTAATGAAGAGAAACATCATTTTGGTCATCTTGTAACTCCCTAATTCTCAATAATATTATATTAGTCTTCAATTATATGTGGAATGAAAAAAAAAAACATTTCACATCATTTAGTTTTGATTGGTTACTTTCTGTTGATTAAGACTTTAGCATTACCAGCTACAACTTTCGCATCATTTGCAAGTTGTCTTTATTGGAGGATTAGGAGGAATAATATCGTCCAAGGAGAATGACGTGGATTTGTAATGAGTACTATGGAAATTACGGGCAGACATTTTAATTTTTCAAGAGAAGAAAAATTGCCACAAAGGAGCGGGGCTCTAGTGTACGTGTAAAGAGGAAACCAGATAGTAGCAGTATTGAAGCAGCACTGAAAAAATGGGAAAGGGAGGGGTGGCTTTTCCAAAGATTGGAGTATACAAGGCAGTTTGCATGAAGATCTGCGCTATTGTTAGAACAAACTGGCAAATGCATGAATCGATGGGAAGAAGCATATCCGTGGGACTGGGAACCTGAACATATTAATAGAGACAGATTGAAAGCAACCCAACTTTCATAATTAGCAGTAACTGTGTTGTTAATTCAAAACAAACTCTCACTGGAAGGCTTGGCTGAACCAACACCAACCTCTTCCATTTTCATCCAACATCATGAATCTAATAACACACACATGAAGCTTTACCACTCTGATTCTGATTTTTATTACAAGTCATTTGTAAGATATTTAATAGTCCTTTTTTAATTTCACTCTTATTTGATGATGATGGAGATGTTGAGGTGGCAAACACATTAGCTCTTAATTAATTTCCACTTAGAATGACTCAGTTGTGAGTTGAATTGTTAAGGATCATTTTCTTAGAAAAGATGAAAAGGAAAAAGTCAAAAGTTGAGTTGTAAATGAATTAAAAGTTGAAGAACTAAAAATTAATTTTCCCAAAATTGTACAATTTGCCATTTTTCTTGATATGCGATAATAAATTGCAATTAATTTACAATAACGAGTGTGATATTTTTAATTCTTGACCGTCTTTAGCCTAAACATCCTAGACTCCCCCTCTAACTCATTCCAAAATGCAGTCATTAACCCCCCTTTCCTCCCCCTATCTGTGTAGTTAAATATAATGTAGGAAAATTTCAAAAAAAAAATCCTGAAATTATTATTACCCAGTTTAAGCGTTTAAAAGCTAGAAATGACAGAGAGAAAAACAAACTCAAATTAAAAATTTGACATTTAAAAAAAACAACAAAAATACTCCTCCGTTAGCTCGACCTGCGTGTGTTAATCAACACGTTTAGTTACGTTCTCTGGGTAATTCACAGAAAATGCCAGAAAGAATGTAACCCAGGAGTTTCTACGGGATGTAATTACTGATTAATAGTTAGGCCTGGGGTAGATTTTTTGGATCCACCAAGAAGCCCATGAGAGACAAGCCTATAGAACATGAGCTCAGGCGATCCTCCCTCTCTGGTGACAAACCATAAGACGATTCTTGCACACCGTTTTCAATGAATAAACAGCAAAATGGACACGCAAAAGTGACTATCATGAAAAATCATTAAGATAAATATCATACTACCTCCGGTCCTTAATATAAACCTTGTTTGACTTTTATTTTGATCCTAAATATAAGACTCTACTCCATTTTGTCTCTCATATTTATACATTTTTTCTCACGGTAGTCCTCCTAATAATGGTTGTTTTAACCAACACACTTAATTAGCAAGGATATTTTAGAAAACACAATACTTATTATTACAAATAACTAACTAACTTTTTTTTTAATTTTCTCAAATTAGTCAACTAGTTCTTATAATTAGGACTGGAGGTAGTATGCGTTTTCCTTTTAACTCTGATTTCAATTCTCTCCATCATGCTAATTAAAGCTGAAATATCAAGCTAGGGGAATTTCTTGACAGTGAGTGCACTGTTATGCTTTAAAGGTAATTAGAAAGTTATCAGTTTTCAACTAACTCTTAATCCTTTCTACTTTAACTTTATGGGGCGATCACACTATTTCCCGATGGCTTCAGCGATCCATGGTCTTCCATCAGCTTTCTTATTCTTTCAGCGTCATCCCATCTTCCAGCCCTTGCATATATATTTGACAGTGTCACATAATGACCAGCATCATGAGGTTCCAAACGGATCAAGTGCTCTGCAGCCAGCTCACCAACAGTAACGTTCTGGTGATCTTGGCATGCAGCTAGTAAAGCTCCCCAAATATGCTTGTCAGGTTTCAGATGCATTTTGTTAATGAAATTATAAGCATCTTCAAGCCGACCAGCACGTGCTAGCATGTCAACAACACAAGAATAATGGGCAATTACGGGAGTTATTCCAAAACCTTTTGTCATTCTGTAGAAGAGTTCAATCCCCTGATCCACGAGTCCTGAGTGACTGCAAGCTGAAAGTGCAGAAGACAAAGTCACTGAATCGGGTCTAAGGCATGAACCATCCATCTGTTGCAACAGCTCTAGAGAAGTCTGGCCAAGCCCATGCATTCCAAAGCCTCCAATAATTGTGTTCCATGAAACCACGTCCCTGGCTAACATAGCAGAAAACACGGAATGTGCATATGCAATGCATCCACATATTGAGTACATATGAATTATAGCATTATAAACATGAATTACAAAATTGAAACTGCTTTTCATGAAGTAAGCGTGAATCTGTTTTCCAGATCTCAAATCGCAAATAGGCAATACGGTTGATATTGTCGTGTGATCATTCTTAATTCCTCTCATTTGCATCTCTCTGAAACATTCAAGTGCCAAATGTCCAAGACCTAGTTCAATGAAACCAAATATCATGGCATTCCACGTCACAACATCAGATTTGTCCATTATATGAAATACCTTTTCAGCATCTCGAGTTCTACAGCAACTGGCATACATCGTCAACAAGGCAGCACCAGCAGACTTGTAAAATGTGTCCTGTGCTATCGATTTGATTCCATAACCATGAATTTCTTTTCCCCTTTCCAAAGCCCTTGAGTGCCGGCAAGATACAAGGATGCTGGAAAGAGAATCCACATCAGGTAAAACTGTCCAACTATTTACCATATCTTTGAAAATCTCCAACGCAATCTCATGCTTCCCAATACTAGTGTAGCCCGAGATTATTGTTGTCCATGAGATGACATTAGGATCTTTAATTTGTTTGAAGATTTTGTAGGCCTCGTTAGAGAGTCCCATCCTACAATAAGCATCCATTATAGTGTTCCAAGTTACAATATCAGGCTCACAGCCCTCCAGTTTCATATAGCCTAACATCTCCACAGCCTGCTTAAATAACCAGTTACCCACGTACCCTGAGATAATTGAATTCCAAGATAAAACGTCTCTTTCAGACATTTCATCAAAGACCTGTCTGGCACTCTTAGTGTTCCCACATTTTGAATACATATCTATAATGAAATTACAAACCTGTATATTAACCTCAGACCCAAATATAATGACATCTTTGTGCACCTGAGCACCCACATCCAAGCATGATGATTGAGCACACGCCCTAAGCACCTTCGGAAACACATAGCTATCAGGTACAATACCCATCAATCTTAATTGGCAATAAGTTCTAATGCATTCTTCTGTCAAACGGTGCCTCGAGTAGAATCCAAGGAAGGCAGTCAATGCAAACACATTAGGCTGCGTCATTTTATGGATCAAAATCTGAGCAGAATTCAAATCATCACAATCAGCATACATTTGGATTAACTTGGTTCTAAAGAAGGGGTTTTGGTGTAAACCACTGAGAATTATTTGTCGGTGAACCTGCTTTCCTTGAATAAGAGCTCTTGAAGCAGAACATGCTTGCAATAGATGGATGAGTTGAAAGGGAGATGAAAGGGCTCTCCTGATCATAGCAGAATGGAATAAGATGGCACTCTATGAGCCGAGCCATACACTCACTACTCATCTAATGGGGAACGTTTTCGCACCGGCCAAAGAATCGATCGAAACACCAAAGTGTTGGAATCTTTTACTGCCGTCAAAAGAATCAGGATATCAAAGATTCCGAAGCTTTCATTGCACAACAGGAGATGTGGGTCGTTGATCCCTCAGCGAAATGTACCCTTGGCTGGCGAGAATCATCCTCATGGCCGCGGGAATAAATAGTACTGCATGCTGCATAGTGTAAAGTGTATTATAAAATATGTAACATCCTCAAATTCATTTATTTTGGAATTTAGTATCCATTATGGTTTATGATATATAATTAAAGAATTAACTGACTTAGGAGGGGTGTTATTAAATTAAAAAAAAAAAGAAAAGAGAGATAAATAGTAAATTATTGTTCCACAAAAGATATATTAGATAAATAAGAAAATAAAAAAAAACAAGAAATACTTTCACAAAATAAATGTTTTAGATATGTGTAAAAGAAATGAAAATTCAATCAATAATACTTCAATAAAAATTATGCCAAAGCAGATAATTCAGAACCTCTTGGAAAAGAAAACATACCACAATAGAAAGATTCGGATTTATGTTTCATCAAAGATTCCTTACATACTACTGTAAGGAATTGAAAGACACGTAGCGGAAAATAACTTTAAAATTTTCTAATCCCTTGCCCGGATCTACCGATTGTGTTTAAGTCAAGTAATAAGAGGTGTTACCTACGGTATTCGAATCGTTGGTGGCTCGGGGATTCCGAAGTTCATCCCTATGCTCTCCTTTTGTTCGTGAGAAGTCGACAACTCAGATCGGCTTTCTCTACCGGTATTCACACGAACAGCGTTCCAATCACGAACGACGTGCTAGCGCCTCTTGTCCTTCTAGGGCTTTTTCGAGAATCCGTCCTCACCGTTTCTATTTTGGCCGTTTCTTATCTGCAAACCTTTTGCTCTCTCACACACCTAAAACCCTAACTCCTAAATATCAAATATATAGGATGCTATCGGTATTATGAAGGATATTGGATTTTAGAATTAATCCTAAATTAATTCTGAAATTAATACAATATCATATATTGCGTAATCTGATAAGAAATCAATTAAATAAATACGGTTTATATTAAATCCGTCTCACAGATTTAATTCACCTATTCATTTAATTCAAAATAAAGATATGACGGAATTATATTTGATTTATTCTAATAAATCAAATTTGAGATATTATATTATACCATATCAATCTAGAACTGATATAGATTTAATTTATCCCAATAAATCAAATCTAAGATATCATATCAATCTAAATTTCAAATTTAAAAGTGATAGAAATTTAATTTATCCTTATAAATCAAATCTTATAAATATCTCTTATATCATATAATATATATATACGCGAATTTATATATATATATATATATACACGTCCACCCTAGATTGAAAAACCACTAAGCCTAAACATAGTCCTTATGATCACTCGATCAAAAGTGACTTTTGACTAGGTCAAAGCTGAGCGTTTCTCATGTAGGAATCCATAATGATCTCAGGTCAAAGGGCATAGGGACATGGTTTGTATATGAGAAAAGCTTATGACTTAACCCATGCAGCTCTCTCATAGCGGGTCGGTCTAACACCTTGTACTCTTACGTGTGCCTATGACTTTGATTTATATCTCTATACATCTTCAAGGTCATACTGGTCTTATTTCATCTCTGCTCCCACATAGATGACCGACCAGGGACATTTAGGATAAAATCATGAGTTATCCAAGGATAATCATCACAGTAAACATATAAATAATATGATAACATAATTAAGAAATTCATAAATCAACAATGTTCATAACACAATGATTGGCCCCTAGGGCACAATTTCCAACATCCTCCCACTTGCACTAGGTACAATCATTAATTTGTCTAATTTCCATTGACCTAACATGACGCTCATGCTTTGCCTGCACAAGCGGCTTTGTTAGAGGATCAGCAACATTGTCTTCTCTTGCTACTTTGCATATTTTTATATCACCTCTATCGTTGATTTCTCTGATGAGATGAAATCGCCTGAGTATATGCTTGGTCCTTTGATGTGACCTAGGCTCTTTGGCCTGTGCAATGGCACCGCTGTTGTCACAGAACAAAGTTATTGGATCTGAGATGGTAGGTATCACCCCAAGTTCAGTAATGAACTTCCTAATCCAAACGGCTTCCTTAGGTGCATCAGATGCTACTATATACTCAGCTTCCGTTGCAGAATCCGCTATAGTACTGCTCCATTATTCAGGAGGAATATGTATCTCGATTGCGATTTAAGGTCGTCTTGGTCAATTGCATCATCATCCAATCCACCATAGACCAAGAATAAGTCCTTAGTCCTTCTTAAGTACTTAAGGATATTCTTGACAGCAGTCCAATGGCCCTCACCAGGGTCCTGTTGATATTGCTAGTCATACTTAAGGCAAACGAGACATCCGGTCGAGTACATAACATGGCGTACATGATAGATCTTATGGCCGAGGCATATGGAACCTTACTCATGCGACCTCGCTAATCAGGTGTACTAGGACACAAATCCTTGCTGACGTGAATACCATGAGACATGGGTATGAAACCCCTCTTTGATTCCTGCATACTGAACCTATGCAGTATTTTGTCTATGTATGTGCTCTAACTGAGTCCTAGAAGTCTTTTAGATCTATCTCTATAGATCCTAATTCCTAGGATGTAGGTGGCTTCACCCAAGTCTTTCATTGAGAAAGACTTTCCTAACCAAGACTTGACAATCTGCAAGGTAGGAATGTCATTCCCAATAAGTAGGATGTCATCGACATAGAGTACCAAAAACACAACTGTGCTCCCACTAACCTTCTTGTACACACAAAGTTTATCAATATTTTGAAGAAATCCAAACCCTTTGACTACTTCATCAAACGATGATTCCAACTCCAAGATATTTGCTTCAATCCATAAATGGACCTTTGAAGCTTGCACACCTTACCAGAGTCCTCGAAACGCACAAACCCTTCAGGTTGTGTCATGTACACATCCTCAAGGAGCTTTCCATTAAGGAAGGCTGTCTTGACGTCCATCTGCCATATTTCATAGTCATAATATGCTGCAATGGCAAGGAGGATTCTGATTGACTTGGCCATTGCAACCGGGGAAAAAGTCTCATCATAGTGTACACCATGAGTTTGAGTAAATCCTTTTGCAACCAGTCATGCCTTGAAGACATTTACATTGCCATCCATGTCGGTTTTCTCCTTAAAAACCCACTTGCACCTGACGGTTTTTATACCTTCAGGCGGGTCGACTAAGGTCCAAACCTGATTGTCGTATATGGATTGCATCTCAGACTTCATGCCATTAAGCCATTTTTCAGAGTTTGGTCCCACTATAGCTTCTTGATAGGTAGTCAGCTCATTATGCTCAATGAGCAACACATCACGATTGTCAGAAATCAGAAATCCATATCTCTGAGACTGAAGCCGTGTCCTATTAGATCTCCGTGGACCTTGCGTGACTTGAGGAGTCTCAACAACTTGTTGTGAGTTATCTCTGTTTTCCATCTGTAGTTCTGTGGTGTCTTGTGGCTCTCGAACTTCTTCGAGATGTACCTTGCTCCCACTGATTCGTTTAGAGATAAATTCTCGTTCTAGAAAGATACCATTTATGACAACAAACACTTTGTTATCGGCTGGGTTGTAGACATAGTATCCCTTCATTTCCTTAGGATATCCCACAAAAAGGCACTTTGAGGATTTGGGCGCTAATTTATCTGAGGCTTGTTGCTTAATATAGACCTCACATCCCCAAATCTTGAGAAAAGACAAACTAGGTTTACTCCCAGTCCATATCTCATACGGAGTCTTTTCAACTGCCTTAGATGGAACACGATTCAATGTGAACACAGCTGTCTATAGGGCATGGCCCCAAAAGGACGGTGGAAGATCTGTTCGACTCATCATGGATCAAACCATATCTAATAGTGTTCGATTCCTCCGTTCAGAAACGCCATTCCATTGTGGTGTTCCTAGAGGAGTCAATTAGGAGACTATCCCACAACTCCTAAGATGATCAATGAACTCTTGGCTCAAATATCCACCACCCCAATCAGATCGAAGGGCTTTAATTGTGTTGCCAAGTTGGTTTTGTACTTCATTTTGAAATATCTTGAACACTTCAAAAGATTCGAATTTATGTTTCATCAGATAGATGTACCCATATCTACTAAAATCATCTATGAATGTGATGAAGTACGAATAACCTCCTCTGGCATTTGTATTCATCGGTCCACACACATCTGTATGTATGAGGCCCAACAAATCAGTGGCCCTCTCACTGTGCCCAGTGAAAGGTGACTTTGTCATCTTTCCTAACAAGCAAGACTTGCAAGTATCATATGATTCAAAATCAAATGAGTTGAGAAATCCATCTTGATGGAGTTTAGAAATGCATTTCTCATTTATGTGGCCCAGACAACAGTGCCAGAGGTATGTCGGATTCAAATCGTTTGGTTTGACCCTTTTAGTGGTTATGTTATAGATATTTCCATGATTGAGTTGCTCCAAATTCAATATATAATGATCAACATGCAAATCACCATGAGCATAGAAAACATCATTACGATAAATAGAACATCTACCATTCCCAGCAATGGAAGTATAACCTTCCTTATCCAAATAAGAAAAAGAAACAATGTTACTACTCAAGGCAGGAACATAATAGCAATTATTCAAAACTAACAAAAGCCCAGTGGGCAGAACTAATCCAAAGGACAATAGGAAGCTGAAAGAAGGGCGAAGTTGACCTACGAGTTAGAAACAGAGCAAGGGTTGCTGCTTTAGCTGATGTCCGGATTCATTGAATCTAAGATATGTCCAGATTCAATGAATAATCTAGGGTGGACGTGTATATATATATATATATAAATTCGCGTATATATATTATATGATATAAGAGATATTTATAAGATTTGATTTATAAGGATAAATTAAATCTCTATCACTTTTAAATTTGAAATTTAGATTGATATGCTATCTTAGATTTGATTTATTGGGATAAATTAAATCTATATCAATTCTAGATTGATATAGTATAATATAATATCTCAAATTTGATTTATTAGAATAAATCAAATATAATTCCGTCATATCTTTATTTTGAATTAAATGAATAGGTGAATTAAATCTGTGGGACGGATTTAATATAAACTGTATTTATGATATTGTATTAATTTCGGAATTAATTTAGGATTAATTCTGAAATCCAATATCCTTCATAATACCGATAGCATCCTATATATTTGATATTTAGGAGTTAGGGTTTTAGGTGTGTGAGAGAGCAAAAGGTTTGCAGATAAGAAACGGCCAAAATAGAAACGGTGAGGACGGATTCTCGAAAAAGCCCTAGAAGGACAAGAGGCGCTAGCACGTCGTTCGTGATTGGAACGCTGTTCGTGTGAATACCGGTAGAGAAAGCCGATCTGAGTTGTCGACTTCTCACGAACAAAAGGAGAGCATAGGGATGAACTTCGGAATCCCCGAGCCACCAACGATTCGAATACCGTAGGTAACATCTCTTACTACTTGACTTAAACACAATCGGTAGATCCGGACAAGGGATTAAAAAATTTTAAAGTTATTTTACGCTACGTGTCTTTCAATTCCTTACAGTGGTATCAAAGCCAGGTTGACAAATTCTGTCAAGCCCCAACAAACCAAAGCATGACTGACACTAGGTGCAAGGTGTCCTCACTTCATAAGCCTTTTAATCTTACCATTTTTCCCCTTTTCAATCTAAAAGATCACTCTATTAATATAATATCAAGTAGCATTATTATATTACCCTTGTACTACCTCCAGTCCTAATTATAAGAGTTAGTTGATTAATTTGATAAGATTAAAGAAGTAAGTTGAGTTAGTTATATGTCCTAAATAGGTGTTGTCTCTCATAAAATATCTTTGCTAATAAGTATATTGACTAGAACTATAATTATTAAAAGGACTATCTTAGAAAATTGAGTAAATATGAGAGACAAAGTAGATTGGGGTCTTATATTTAGAACCAAAATAAAAATCAAACAAGGGTCTTATATTAAGGACCGGAGGTAGTATAAATTTTCAACTTTAACCTCTTGAAACATTGAAGTTTCGAGACACCTTCGTCATTCTTTTTTGTAATACTCCAAAACATATAATAAAATACTTGGACTAAATGTGCGCAATTGTATGTCCGTGCAGGTTTCACAATACAGAATAAATAAACAATATCATGATATACGTATAAAAATTATTTATGAATTTATCATAACCATACTTGTATTCAACAACAATAAAAACTAAAGAAAATAACTATAAATTCAGTTTAAGCAAGATCTTATAAACAAATTTGTTTTCAATGAACAAAATGATTAGGAAAACATGTTTTCCTAGAAGCTTGTGCTGTCAGAGGAACTAACACAAAACGAATAACAAGTGCAGCTCAAAAGCCACGAATAACAGGTGCAATCCGAAGGTCACGAATATCCGGCGTAGCTTGAAAGCTACGAATAACAAGCGCAACCCAAAAGTCACGAATAGTAGGCACAGCCCGAGGGTCACGAATATCCAACGTAGCTCAAATGCTACAAATAACAGACACAACCCAAAGGTCACAAATATCTGGCGCTTTGTGCCTAGTTCCTCTGAATAAAAAACATGCCGATAATCTTATAACAAATCTTTTCTTTCAATTTAAAAAAATTCATCTTGCATATTTTGAAAATTCAAACTTGTAAAGTCTTTGCAAAATATTCACAAGCTTTATTTTAAAATTTCCTTTCATAGGCTTTATGGTGTGTGTGTATTGAAACAAAACTGTTCTATGAACAATGAAAAACAATAATCAAATCAATATTTCCATTAGAATGGTTTGTTACATACATTTTATTACAAGTCTATCTCAAACATTTTCCTTGTTCAAGCGTGCAGCATATATCAGTCTTCAATGCAGAAAAATAAACAAAAATACCCACATTATAATTTCCCTTAAAACTAGCATCAACAGATTTTATTCCCAACTCCATAAGGTCTCCTTTTCAAGTATTAAACAACCACTTCAAGGGCATTCCACTATGAGCACAATTAGTGTAAGATTATAGGACTTCCAAATTTTACCGTTACATAAGATTTGCATCACAATCATACATAACATATCTCAATTTTTTGTCACGATCAAGATAGTTTAAGAAAATCACTTTCAATTTAAGTCCCTTCTCTATCAAACATCCATCAAAACACCCAGTGGGCACACAAGATTATCTCAAATCCATAACAGGAATTATGTCCTTTAATCCTTTCTAGTACATTCTAACTTTAATTTCCCTAATAGACATTTTATCAAATATCTATCATGCATACGAATGGAATTAGCAAAACAATTTCTTTTCTTTTTTTTTCCAATTCTCCAACTTATTATTTGAATTTCAATCTCCTTCCAATGTCAACCCACAACAGCCAAAACTATACTTGCAGAAACGAAAGAAAGAAGAAACGAATTCATTACAGCTCACCCACAATCAACAAATAGAACAAACGAAGACCAATCGAAGAAGCAAATCAAGGGAAATAAACAGTCACCCAAGATTTTGAGCAGAGGGGGAGATGATGGCGGTGATTCTGACACTCACCAGCGACGGAAAGAAGACTTTCCTTTCTTCCATGAATGCGTGCGCAAGCCTCTGATTCCAGAAATTTCTCACCGTCTCTCTCTATGTTTTCACCGACTGAAACAGGAAGATAAGCGAGTGAGGGGGGGAAAAAGGCATCGAAAGGATTGGAACTCGAGAACTAACATCAGTCAAACCTGTGATTTGATTGTTTAAATGTCAGGCCAAGAATATACATATATTGGCATGTTAAGAACTAATGTCTTAATTTGTTTTATTTTAACATTTGTTTAAATGTCGGGCTAAAATAGAATGTTTGTACCCTTCACCTTTTTTAGGAAGAGACGAACGGTGATGAGAGTTTACTTGTTTTGATTTGCTTTGTTGTTTTTGCAATAAGTACACTTTCAATTGAAAAAAAAACAATGTTTGTTTAAATGAAACAATATTCTTGTAAAATAAAATATTTATTAATCCTATTATGGCCACTTTACATCATTAGAAGATCTAGAGAGTGGTTTTGCACATGCGGGTGAGTCTTATAACAATAGTTTTTCTTAGCATGGGCTATGCTCTACGATTGTTATTACAGCAGACTGTAAGTTTGAGAACTTTCCAATTGCGGAAATATACTAGAATTAATATTGTGTTTTTATTAATCATTCAGTCATGTAGAATTATATTAGGATATTGGCTAGGATTATAATATTAGATAATCTAAAAAGAATAAATCTGAAATATTAAGATTAGATAAGATTTTAGGATTAATTTGTTAGGTTATAGTTTACCTAATAAGAGTGCATATGAGTCTACATATTTTGAACTCCTTATTTTCCTCAACTCTCAATTCTTCAAGTTCAAACATAGTATCAAAGCCAGGTTCTTTCACAACTTTTGTGAAAAAAGAAATAGGAAAAAAAGGGACATGCTCACTCTAATCATTACAAAAAAATTGACTGAAAATATAAAAGTCGCCGCTAAAAAGTCGTTACCGTAGTAGCCGTGGTTGAAAACTTTTAACGGCGGCTAAAAAAATCACCACTGAAAGACACTTTCAGCGGTGGCTTTTAGAAGTTTCAGCGGCGATATTTATTGTAGCTAAAAGACACTTTAGGCAGCGACATTGTTGTCACCACCAAAAAAGATGTTCAAAAAGTCACCGCTGAAAGTGATGCCTAAGAAGAATTGGTTTTACCAACGCCACGTCATCACCACCAACCGCCACGTCATCGTCGCCGGCTGCCACATCATCACAAGCCACCTCCACCTCATCATCGAACAAGTGCCACATCATTACCAGCCACCTCCGCGTCATTGCCACATCAATCCTCCCCACCACGTCATCATCCAAATATTTTCATCTTAAATGTGTCTTCTTCAAGGTCCGAACTCGTGACCACCTTCTTTCGTGTCCAATCTTCTTGCCGTTGAGCCAGAAGTTTCAGTGGAGACAAAAATGTCATCGCTGAAAATAGAATTTCAGCGGCGACTTTTTTTATCACCGCCGAAAGTCGTCGCCTAAAGTCTTTTTTTGGTAACGAGTCTAGTCACACCTATTTGCTTATGCATTCCAGTCGCTTCCGAATTGAGTTCGTGATCAAAATCACTCTTGGATAGTCATGTTCATCATTGTTTGCCTCAAAAATCCCTAAGCTTCAAGCCATAGAGACTTTCTCCCTCCAGTTTGCATCTTTTTGGCATCTACCTACCTTTGCCTGACATGTTGTCACACGTGTTGTTGCCTTCACAATCATTCTGGTTCCATCCACATTCTTTCTTTTTGCAGTCTATCCAGTTTCATCTAGATTCTTGCCTTTGCAATCTATCCGGTTTTGTCCCAGATTCTTGCCTTCACAGTACATCTACTTCCATTCAGATTTTTGCCTTTGCAGTCTCTTCCTGGTTCCATCTATATCCACGCCACTTTACGTTGCTTTTGCTATCACATGCCTCCCCATTGGGATCATCTTGCTCCAATGCCGACTTCCAGTCAACTGGTCATCTACAACTTAAGTTGAATACTACAATTCACATCTAAATCTCGTGCTCAAGCCAAATCTTCAACTTGAGGGGGAGTGTGAAAATATACTGGAATTAATTAATATTATGTTTTAGTAATCATTCAGTCATCTAGAATTATATTAGGATATTGTCTAGGATTATAGTATTATCATATCATAAAAGAATAAATCTGAGATAGTAGGATTAGATTGGATTAGATAAAATTCTAGGATTAGCTTGTTAGGTTATGGTTTGCCTTTTAAAGACTCATTTATACTCGTATTATTCAAGAATTAATAATATTTTGAACCCTTTATTTCTCTCAACTCTCAATCCTTCAAATTCTAACACTAATGTTTAGACTTTGCTCCGACAATGCAATCCAATTAACATTCCTTATGCTGAGTTGGTCTGACACCTTCATTAATTCACCACTGCTTTTTCTTTTTCTTCTTTTTTTTTTTGTTCTTTGTTTGTCAAAGGATCTTATTCAACATACATGTTAACTTCACAAATGGTCAATCCTTGATGTACAGTGTTACTGGGTCATCATTAGCCCAGACGACCATCCTATAGCCTTTTTCAATGAGAAGCCCAATGACGCAAAGCTTTTAGTCCACACATGATAAGAAGTCCACCCATCTTACCCCAGTAATTCGCCCTACACTCGAACCACCAAGCAGTCGAGTTTCTTAACCCCCACTAGCACTTAAACGCCAAGCATGATAAATGGGTCAAGTTCATTTAGGGATTGACCTTTGTGACATTGCCCAAAGGTTAAGAACAAGCTAACCGATGTCCTTTAGCACGCGAGTCTACCTCCTCAATACCTTGAGGATTATTAGCATTGTTGGTTTTGATAGGTTAAGAAATGAGTATATGTCGTGCCCTAATTTTAGACTCATGTATCAAGAGGTTATAGATGGGAGTTAAGAAACTTGAGCGTCTCCTCTTAGTTGCTCACATTTCAACATCTAGAAGGCCACAACCTTACTAAATGGCATGTTTTGTTGGACTTCTCTTAGATCGTGGCCTTGAACAAGTTAATGTTGTAATTAGTAGATTCTCAAAGATGGCTTGCTTCGTGCCATATAGCAGGACGACTGATGCCTCTCATCTTACCAAGCTATTCAATTGTGAGTCTTCATGGTTTACCTAGCACCATTACCTTAGACAATGAGCTATTTTTGAAAAACCCTCTAGCCTCTTTGGCAATTTTCATTCGCTCTTCACCCATACCAATGATGGTTAGATAGAGGTGACCAACCACAGGTGACCTATTCCAAAGCTTGATTGGAGATACCTCCAAAAATAATTGGGATCTAGTCTTACTTGTAGCAGAATTTAATTATAATAAATCAGTTAATCGATCCATCATGAGCCTACTCCAAATTATTCAAAGATACAATTCACAGCAACCTATTGACCTTATACTTATCCCCTTTGTTTACTCACCTTACTAAATCCATTAAGACATTGTTCCTTTTGTTTTCACAACACTCAAGGTGAGGTCAGGCATAAATTAGCATGATAAGTACTAGTTGCAAACTCCAGCAAGTCCTATCCACCACTACCTCATCCGTTCGAAAGGCCGTGTCGATTCAAATGCTACAGGATCATCGAGGACGATTTCTGCCAAGTAGACCTGCCTTCATCGATTACTCCCGGCTATCTAATTTTCCGATTACGAGTTCTTCCAACCCAAGGGAAATGATGTAGCAATATCTCATTAGTTTTTCATTTATTTTTTAGATTTTATTTGGACTTATCATTTTTTAGGATTTATTATAATTTCTAATTAAGATTAGTTGTTGTTATTATTAGGAAAAATTAATCTTTCTAGTCATTTAAGTTTTAACTCAGTTGTAACTCGATCCCTCAACTATAACTCAACACCTAAATTTTTTAACTTGCTAAAACTCAGTCCTTAATCTTTTCCAATTTAATAAATCAATGATTTTAATGTCTTATGTGGCAAAAGACTTATATGAAATATGCTGAAGTGGCTAATGGAATATGATATGGGTGGTGAGTAAGCGTGTAGGTGGATAAATTCTGCCTTGTAGAAGATGATATGTCTAAAACAATTTGAACTAGAGAAGAAAAAAAGATCATTCAGTCATGTTATGATGAAACACATCGGGTGAGTTATGGCTTGTCCAAGAGGAGGAAAAAGGAGCATATCGTCTATTCTAATTCATTAACAAGCCAGGAATTTCTCTCTAGAGACCAGACTTATTGTCATGTCTTGGAGAAGACTAGAATTGGTGAGTGGACTCGAACCCAAAGGATTCGTGAAGTGGAAAATCAAAGTCAAAGCTCAAACCTACAACTAGATGTATACTTGACGTCAAATGAAAGGAAACCTCTAATCACTGTTGATGTTGAGTTTCTGAATTGTTTATTTCTTGAAAAATGCTTTATTTTGTTAAACGCAAAGCCATCCCATCTTGCATTCATATATAATGTGTACTTGGATTTCTTCCCCTTCTTTCGTCATTTTGAGTGTGCATAAATATATCACTTATGATATGCAAGAGTTGGAGTATTGAGTTTTGGCTCTGTTTATCTTTGTTTTTTTCAAACAGAAAGCAGAGGTGGACCAATCTTCTCATTCTGACAAATATTGTTTTTTTCCCTCTCTCGCAAATATTTTCAAAAGAAGTGGGTCACAGACTATGAAACATTGACAAGGTTTGTGGTAAAGTTGCAATATTTAGTTATTTATTTTTTTGTTTTTCGGATGAAGAGTACACACACTAACTAGGAGCCTCTGTCCAAAGCAAGAAAAATATAATACGAAGAGAATACTAACATTATTTAGTTATAATATTTAGCTATTTACTAAATATCAATTTTCTTCTGCTACTTTTTTTTTTGAAGTAGTTGTATAATGTGATTTAGAGTTTTGTCTTCTTCAATAGTTGGACTGTCCTGTGATTTATCTAAACTATCCAACAATATTTTGAAACTTGATTATTTCTGTACATGTTTCGTGTTTTTTTAAAACAATATTAAGTTATTTACTAAATATCAATTTTCTTCAGCTACTTTTTTTGAAATAGTTGTATAATGTGATTTAGAGTTTTTTATTCTTCGATAGTTGGACTGTCCTGTGATTTATCTAAGCTGTCCAACAATATTTTGAAACTTGATTATCGCTGTACGTGTTTCATGTCACACAGGATATTGGAAGGACTGATTTATTAAATTGGAAAAGATTAAGAACTGAGTTTTAACGAGTTAAAAAGTTTAGACACTAAGTCATAGTAAGTCACAATTGAAGAACTGTGTTATAATTGATTAACTTGAGGAATCAAAAGATTAATTGTCCCTCATTATTATTATTATTTTCATTTTTCTTATTATTTTACTACAAGTAGTTTTAGGATTTTCATTTTGACCACAAACTTGAGCACTAAATGATTGAAGTTACTTTTTATCTCTTGGCTTCTCTTCTTTGTTCCTCTCATATCTACTTTACATCATACAATCAGGACTATTGGGGGGTAAGATCAATAAATGATCAGGAGCCTAGAACCCAAAAATCTACTTGTGTCCAGTTTTTCTACTAGCATCATATTATAAGCTGTATTAAACAATTTAGCTGACAAATTAGATGCCATTTCACAGGCTAGATTACTTAGATCACTAATTCCATGGCATATATATAGATCCTGTGTACAGCGATCTACCGCTAGAAACAGATCAGGGAATTAAGTACCAATTCAGATCAAATTTCTGCTTCTTAAATAGTTCATTCATTCATCACCTAGATAACGAAAACATATGACAAGCAAGAAAGCAAACAATTTCAATGCCAACAAAGCAATGCCCATGTTGCAATCAGTGTTAAATGCACGCAGAAACAACAAAGCCATGCTTGGGATTCTCTCTCATTTTCTCCCTGGATTATGCTTGGGATTCTCTTTCATTTTCTCCATGGATTATTCTCTTCCCGTTCCAATTAGACATCACAATGATGCGGACGAGGGATAAAATTGAGGACGAAAATAATATGGATAGGGAAAAGCAATGGAAAAACGTTTATAAATGGGGGAAAAAAAAAAACCCCACCGATTAGATTTACAATACGCAACAAGGATAATCTCCAGTCTCTAAGACACTAACAAGTTATGAACATATATAAAAAATACAGAGCAAAGAAATAAGGCATATCACTGGCGAAATGAAGACAAATTTCAGTACACGCATCCAAAATGAGGATCCAAAGAAGCAAATGAAAACTATAACAACTGGGTTCCGCCAGAAGATATCCAAAGAGGAAGGGGGAAAATCAAAGAATAACAGAAGAGCAAAAGAAAAGAAAAACTGCGTACCAAGAATCGAAGAATCAAAATATAGATTGAATCATGAATATCGTGCAGTGCAGCTGTCGTTTCTGAAGTCGAACGCAATCCAATTCCTTGTTATTAGAATAGCTGAAGACCAAGGCAAGATGATCTTCGCCCACCAAGGATCACACGATTGAAGAAAGCAGAGAAGCAAAAGAGAGAACAATAGATTAATAGAAGCCCAATCAAGCCGTTGCAGAATAGTACCGTTGCAATGGTGCGAAGCGACTTCTGAATTTGAAAGAATTTCAAAATTTCTCAATCAATCAGTTACGCTGTCCGCTGTAAATGAACGTCTAATTTGCAATGTCTTAAAAGTCTGAACGCAAGTTGAACCGGAAAGAACAATAGGTAATGATTCATCGGTCGGACTGTTCAGTCTGACCAGTAACATAATAATTAATTTAAATAATATTATATACATATAATTAATATATATATATATGAAGAATATCAAATTATTAGATTTAGAAATGTATTTAAATAATCTAAAATTATAATGAAATCATTAAAAATGGATTAAAACCTTATATATTTAAATTTATGTCTGTTTAAAATATTTAATGATATTAAAAATTATCAATTCATTCAAATCAAAATATTGTTTTAAAAGATGGACCAGATATCGAAACAAAAAGACTAGCGACTCACAGTTTTAATATCACGATATATGAAATTTTCAATAAAATAATACTATATGGTTATAAATAGTCTAAAAATATATTAGGATATTTAAGGGGGTTAATTTTTTATTTTTCTTCTATTTTTTTTTACTTTCTTTTACTTTTTTTAGTATTTTTTTAGTCAGACTAAAAAACCGTCAAGGTTTCTGAAAATCGTTTCGGTTCCCGATCCAACTCCGGTTTCTGACTTAATGACGGCTCAACTCCGTTCCAATCCGGCTCAACCATGTAAACAGTTTTTTTGTCGAAACCAAGCTGTTAATGAGGAGCCCAGCTAACAGTTCAACCGGTTCGACCGTCTGGTCCTGTTCTTTAATAATTGCTAATCCGCATAAATATTTTTAAAAAACTGAAGAAAAAAAATTTTCAAAAGTCATTTATGGGCCTCCTACCTCCTAAGCAAAGTGGCCCTAGCAAAATGTGTGTCTGTGTTTGGTAATACAAAATGCGCAGAAAACTACTTTGTATTTTTACAAGAGAAAAACAAAATGAAAAGAAACTACTTGGTTTTGGCCTTTCTCTTTTCGTGTGTTAGCATGGCACGCTAGAGCTATCAATAAGGGCCAGTCCGGCCCTAAAAGACTAGCTCTTGAAGGGGCAAGGCCTAAAAGGACCGGCTCTTTAAAGCCCACATATTTTAAAATTATCTGATTATTAAAACCTAGCCCTTGGACATACAGGCTCAGGGCTTAAAAGAGCTGACCCTTTTATGTTATTTTTAAAAATTTAAATTCTTTTTAATTATTTTAAAATAAAAAATAAAACAACAAAACTTCTAAGATTTTTTATTCAAATTATAAATATAAGTAAAATAAACTAATGGTGTATAAAAAAAATTAAATGCCAATAAACTATTGTCCAAAATAAAAAAAATCAAAATCTAACAAAACACGAAAAACAGAAAGATAAAAACCCAGCAGTTAAAGATTAACAATATCAACATCATTACTCCTCTTATCCTTAATATAATACTCATTTAACTAATTTGATTAGATTAAGGAAATTAGGTAAGTTAGTTAGTTATAAGAAATGTGACACATTTTTCCTAAAATACCATAATCATCTTTCTTAATTCCCCATCTTCTTTTTCTATTTGATTATGGTTGAGGGAGTATCCATAGGGATAATTTAGAGAAAATTAATAAATAGGAGAAATGGGTCTTATATTTAGAATCAAAACCAACTCAACAATTGGGTCATATATTAAGGACCAAAGGAGTATTATATTTATCTTCATCTTTATCAATATCATCAAGATCAATAATATTTGATTGTTCTTTACTACAAGTGATCTCTTCTTCAGTGATAAAAATATTAAGGTTTTTGTCTTCATTTACCTTATCTAAAATAAAACTATGCAGTAGTTATAAGTACAAATAAAAGCCTAAACATTTGTTCGAACAAGAAAAGTTTTACACTTTGTTAAGATATGTAAACTGATAGTAAATGAAGATTTACTAGCTATTGTGGTGATTAGAATGTTAAGAATATCAGCTGCCATTCTTGAGAGAATTGAAGATTGATTTTAATTGTTCTTCCACAAGTCCAAGACATCTAATTCTTTTTAATTATTTAGCTTGAGTATTGGTTCTTCTAAATATTTTTCTAATTTAAACTTATTCATAAAAGATTAATCTATAACTTTATAAATATATTGATAATAATAATAATAAAAAAAAGGGGCTTAAAAGGGCTAGCCCTTGGTCCTAAAGGACTAGCCCTTTTATTTTTAAGCCCTATAGGACTAGCCCCTTTAAGTCCAATTTCTTTTTAAACTAGCTAAAATACAAGTCCGGCTCTCCATTTAAAAGAGTTTAAAAGGGCTGGCTCGATAAACTTGGCCCGTTTTAACCACTCTATGGCACGCAAAGGCAAAGGAAGAGATGGGGTTTCCTCTTTTTTTGCCCATAATAACTATGTGGTATTTATAGTACTATTTCCATTATAATGGAAGTAATTTTTTTTCCATAATATTTGGATCCCTCTTTTATTTTTTCACTTAAAAAACCATGACACAAAGGGACTCCGATTTGTTGTAATTTGAACCAAAATATTTTTTTTGGCTAAATTGGGTCCTAACAATTTTCTTAAAAATATTTTCTTTATTCATGCAGATTTAAACACCTTTATTAAGAAATTTGTCGGCGAGGTAATTTTCTCTTCTTTGTAAATATCCTTCCATCACTCACTAACTAGTCAAATTAATTTAATAATTATAAAACGTTATTTGATTGAGTTTAACTTTTATGCTTCCACATGTCACAATTTAAGAATTATATTAAAAATAGAGGCGCAAACTTTAGCCTTTGTATGGGGTGATACAGCCTCTATACCATGCATGTTGCTTACTTGCACTGTAATGCCTGGAGTTTCAAAGATCTACACGCTAGCATATTTTAATATTTTGAGTCCTTCTTTGTATTTCTATAAAAGTTGTCCCCAAAACAATTCTTTGACCAAAAAAAAAACATTGATAAGATTTAAAAACTTTCAACGTGATGTTATTGAACCCAAAAAAATATTATGAATACTCTATGCTCCTAAGTGAAAACTTTCAGGATAAATTTATATATTAACCCCGTCAATAACACGTGGACCTGTCAGTTTAGCACATTGGGTCAATTAACCGTTAGCCTTGACATAAATAACATATAAGATGAAATTACTATGATTTGAAAACTTTTTTCAAATGACATCAAACCCAAAAAAAAAAAGCTTTCGGATATCTAATGCTTAGTAAAAACTTTTGAAACAAATTTATATCTTAACCCATAGAAATTATAATCGCCATAATGAAAATGATCATCAAGCCATATATTTGTATTATTTTTGTCGGCAAACATGTGAAAAGTAATTTCATTTTGGTCATCTTGTAACTCACTAATTCTCAATAATATTATATTGGTCTCACCAATTCTCACCAACTCACTTTTAAGAATTAGTGAGTTTTGATTGGTTACATGTTTTTTTTTTCCAGATTCAACCTTCACATCATTTTGCAAGTTGTCTTTATCTTTCTATTGTTTGATGCTAAGGATTACGTATATTTGGAAGTGTGGAATTGAAATGAAAGACATCTAAACGTTTGGTAATACCAATATATTCAATTTTGAACGTTTGGTAAAGAGCAATGAATAAAACAAGCACAAGAGGTAACCAATAACAGCACAAAGAAAACAACTAGAACAATGCCATCAGCAGCCTTGAAACCATTCAAGTCATAGGAAATGCAAGTCAAAAACAATCCAAAGAAAAGGAACACTGCAAAGTTAACAAAGTATCCAGCCGAAGTAACTGACATAGAAACTAAAAACTAAAAGGAAAGAAATAAAACAACAATGACAAAATGAAATCAGCTCTACATATTAGCAGCACCAGCCCAACCCCTAAAGTGCTAGCTCGAGAAGTCCCTATTCCAGTGTCCTTGTCCTCATCTACTAGCAATTGAAAACCCAAGTGTTGAGTGATGAGTGCATCCATCCTTCTCTTGTAGCGCATATCCTTGTCATATAGGGTTATCATATAGGGCATCTCATGTCCTCCGATACCATATTTCCTTATCAACTTAGACTCTTAAGAATTAAGGTTATCAGAAACAATGACAAGGTCCTTAGACAAGGTCTCCAGAGTAATCTACTTATCATCATAAGCAACATCCACAGGTGCTAGTGCATTTACATTTGGAACTAGCCCAACATCCATTGTTGGAAGTGATGGTTACGGCACGGGTAGTGTTTGCTTAATACGGTCATGTTTGAAGGGGGGTATATGTCAAAGTACCTGTCCTTGTCTTCCTCAGGAGCATTGACAACCCACAAAAGATTAGTGATGAGGTAGAGGTGTTGATGAGGTGGAGGTGTTGATGTAATGATAAAGGGCGTCATAAGATACCATTGGTTGGCCATGAGAAGGTAAACAATAAGGGCATGGCATTTAGGGACTTGGTAAAGGTGAGATACGGGCATGATGTTGTTGCAAAATAAGTGCAACCAGTAACGTGCTGCCAGCTTGAAATCAGACTTTTTAAGACATATTCCGGTAAGGTAGGGTCATTGCCATTGAGCAATATTAGTGCAAAAGGTACTAATGACCAAATCAGTAGGATAATTCTCCACGAGGGAGTACACTAGCGCACCGGTAGAAGCCTAAAATAGCATCAGATGTTTGAGCTTGGAAGGCATATCTATCCAAATCTTCGTCCACATTTGAGTATTTTCTAGTGTTTTACAACACTTTTGCCCTCATTTTGCATGCATTTATACCCTTTTGATTATGTTGATTGTCAATTATCTCATCCAATCAATAAATGCCTTGATATTTAACTTGCTTAATTTTTAGAAAGCTCTTTGCTTTTGTTTATAAGCATTTGAAGGAGGCTTAAAGGCCCAAGATAAAACATTTAAGAAGCCACAAGTTCAAAAGGGCTAAAAGGAGAAGAGTCAAAACGCAAAACTGGAAGTGCCTCTGTGTTCCTAAGTCGCGATGTAGAATGCTCCCAGGTTATGACTTGGATGCATTTTTAGTGAAACAGTGTGTTTTGAACTAGGTCATTCTGCAGTTAAAG